GGCCAGGAACTGGTAGCAAGATTCAAGGAGATGCACTGTGCTGGTGGGTGAGAAAGACTGGCAGGGAACGGGGTGCAGAAGTCCAGTACTGGTAGAGTTAAGAAAAACCCACACTTAAATGTTTTCTCATTTTCTCCACGATTCTAGCCTCTCTGCTGCTATTCAGCTTTACTTTTATATTTTTACATTGGGGTATAATTGATATACAATGTTGTGTTAGTTTCCAGTGTACAACAACGTGATTCAGTCATATATATATATATATATATATATATCCTTTTTCAAATGAGTTTTCCATATAGGTTATTAAGTTTACTTTTTTTTGAAGTGACAATCTGGATGTAGGAAGATACTCACAAATAACTTAAAAATACTCAAAAGATCCCCCAGAAGCACTCAGGAAAGATTTGGGTTTCAGAGAATTGGCCCCGTCATTCCATCAGCTACTGCAGAGCTGTAATTTATTTATTATCTATTAATATTTTACACACACTGGACAGAAGGAAAAGCTATTCAGGAAGGAACTGATACTGGTCAAGAATCCTTCTTTGACGCTTTTCTCCATCTGAGGACAGCCCTCGTCCTCTCTGGCCACAGGGGTGGCATGTGACCAGAGCTGGGCCAAATACAGAACTTCATGCTTCCTTGACCATGGGGACTGGCTTAACAAACGGGCAATGAGCCAGTGTAAGTCATTGAGTCCTTCCCCTAGGAGTTTCCAAACTAAAGCTGGAAGAACCAGCTTTCCTGGCTGGTGAAGAGATCACAGCTGCCCATAACCATGTCCTGCACCATGTGAAGAAGCCAGTCTGTTGTGCAGGCTTGGACTCAAAACAAGAAGAAAAGATCAGAGAGGTGTCTGGGGTTGAGTTGATAGGATCCAATTCTTCACAAGCCTGTTCACAAGCCTGACTTCACCTTCATCCATCTCAGGTTGGTTACATTTGCCAACCAACTTCCTTTTTTGCTTACACTAGTCTTGTCACCTGCAATAGAATATATCTTATATATTTAGCCCCAGCTCTATATACCTAAGTGCTTACCAGGAATCTCCCTTTGGATGTCCCCTGGTACGTTAGACTTACACCTGCTGTACAATGCATCGTTCCTCCCATCCTCCCTATATCTACCCCATTTCCTGTATTCTATCTTCCTGGTTATCAACTCAGCCACTAGCCAGCTGCCCAAGTCAGAAACCTGCAGCTCCACTGGGTTTCTTCCTTTCCACCTGATCCCCATCCCTCAGGACCTAACGGGTCTCTAAGTTCTTTTACTCTTCATAAATATTTCTCCTATCTGTTCCTCTGTCTTCTACTACATTTGAGACTCCTTTGGCCTATTTCTCCTTTTCCTGTGGTGCTGAAAAGGCCATCTCAGAATGCTTACTCTGTGTATTGTCTCTGATGAATGGGGTATGCTTCTAATAAAATTTTCCTGGGACCTTTCTAGTCCCAGGTGATTGGTCTCGATAATTTTACCCTAAGGTCTGGTCAATAACATGTAAAGATGGCAGGAGAGTTTTCAAGAAGAGATATGGAAGATTAATTACACTAATCAGGTCGTCTTCTATGAGGTGATCCGAATCTGAGACACCTAGAGGGCTCCTCAGTGGTTCCAAACAAAAGTTGAACATTTACAGAGAAAGGACAGAAGTAAGAAGAAGAATGTAGAAACTCTTATGAAACTATACTGAATAGAAGGTAAAGTAATTGACTGGAGTGATAGAAACAAGAAGAGCAAAACTACCATCATGTTTGGGGGCAAACTCTCTGGTGGGGAAGCAACAAAATATTAGTCCTGGCCCCGACCACCACCTGCTTTTCAATTGCTAAGTTGTGTATACTCTAGCCTGTGTGGCTGGAGGACAGCACACTGGTTCCTATGAGTTTGTGTTCCCATGAGATGCTTTGTATCCTTATGACCTCAACCCACGAACACTATACAGTGTAGTGTAGTCATATAAATTAATTCCCCAACCATGTGATGTTTTGCTGTTAATGTGCCTACATTATTTCTTCCAACTAGAACAATCTTCTCATGTCCCAAAGTGTTAGTTGCTCAGTCGTGTCTGACTCTATGAGACCCCATAGACTATAGCTCACCAGGCTCCTCTGTCCATGGGATTCTCCAGGCAAGAATACTAGAGTGGATAGCCATTCCCTTCTTCATGGGATCTTCCAGACCCAGGGGTTGAACCTGGGTCTCCTGCATTGCAGGCAGATTCTACCATCTGAGCCACCAGGGGAGCCCTCTCATGTACAAAATACCCCTAAATTTGTCACCTGGCTGCACTGCTGCTTGCTTTTCAAGACTGGGCTTAGGCTCCTCTAAGCAGTTTTCTGTAACCCATCCAGGTTACACACTCTTCCTTTACTACAAACAGACTTACTGCTATTGCATATTGTAACCGTGTGTCTCCACAAGCAGATGAGCTTCTGATGAGAGCAGGATGCTGTTCTGTTCTTCTTTGTATCCCCAGTGCCGGTCCAGGATCCACACAAAGCAGATACTCAGTGGATGGTATTGTTTTTGTTAGAGGTACATATATATATAATGGAATATTACTCAGCCATAAAAAGGAACAAAATCAGGCCATTTGTAAAGATGTGAATGGACCTAGAGGCTGTCACAGAGTGAATTAGGTCAGAAAGAGAAAAACAAATAATGTATATTAATGCATTTATGTGGAATCTAGAAAAATGGCACAGATGAACCTATTTGCAGGGCAGGAACAGAGACGCAGATATAATGGATGAGTAGACATAAGGGTGTAAGGAGAGGGTGGGGTAGCACTGACATACATACACTGCTGCTGCTGCTAAGTTGCTTCAGTCGTGTCCGACTCATGCGACCCATAGACAGCAGCCCACCAGGCTCCCCCGTCCCTGGGATTCTCCAGGCAAGAACACTGGAGTGGGTTGCCATTTCCTTCTCCAATGCATGAAAGTGAAAAGTGAAAGTGAAGTCGCTCAGTCATGTCTGACTCTTTGCGACCCTATGGACTGCAGCCCGCCAGGCTCCTCTGTCCATGGGGTTTTCCAGGCAAGAGGACTGGGACATATATACACAACCATGTGTAAAACAGCTACTGGGAAACTGCTATATAGCACAGGAAGCTCAGCTCTGTGTTGACCTGCGTGGGCGGCGGGAGGCTCAAGGGGGAGGGAATATATGTTTAGTTACAGCTGATCCACTTGTACAGCAGAAACTTAACACACCATTGTAAAGCAATTATACTCCAATTAAACAAAAAAACTCCAAGGGGATAAAAAGAAAGAAGGAAAAAAAAAACTTGTTTATAGACTGGGTCAGTAACCAAGTTTAATAACCTTCCATTATCAGTCCTCTTTTACTAGATCCACTTGCAGCCTGAAGTATGCTCTGGTACCTTAGAGAAAGACAATGGTTCCATGGCTTTGTGTATGTGATCCTTTCAATTTGGAAAGCCCTTCTCATCCCTGCCCCCTAACTCACTGTGGTTTTAATTTGCATCTCCCTCATGATTAGTGATGTTGAGTATCTTTTCATGTGCTTATTGGCCATTTGTGTATCTTCTCGGGACAAATGTCTTATTAAGTCCTTTGCTCATTTTGGGTTGTTAGTCGTTGAATTCCCAGTTATTCTGTAATATGGAATGGTTTCAGGAACACAACAGATCTCCAGAGTTTAGAATGATATGAAAATGCTAGAGGCTTTAGGAAAAAGGTGCTTCCCTAGTGGCTCAGCTGGTAAAGACTCTGCCAGCAACGCGGGAGACCTGGGTTCGACACTTGGGTTGGGAAGATCCCCTGGAGAAGGGAACAGCTACCCACTTTAGTATTCTGGCCTGGAGATTCCCATGGGTGGACACAACTGAGCGACTTTCACTTTGGGAAAAGGGGCAGGAGGAGATGAGGTTGTCAAAAAAAAAAGTTTTTAAAGAATTTTTTAAAAGTCTTAGAAAAGAGAAAAGGAAGTAGACTTTTAGGATTCTGAGCTCATTTTTGTACTGTTATTTGGCAACCTTATGGGTTAAATAAGCAGTGGTGGTTGACCTTAGGACCTAACCACTATTTAAAAACACTACTTATATAAAAAATGCTCTTATAATATTCTAATCTTAAAAAACTTTGGTATGTAATTCATATATATTTTGATGATGGTGGTGGTTTAGTCATTAAGTTGTGTCTTGCAACCCCATGGACTGTAGCCATCTAGGCTCCTCTGTCCATGGGGTTTCCCAGGCAAGGATACCTGAGTAAGTTGCCATTTCCTTCTTCAGGGGATCTTCCCAATCCAGGGATCAAACCTGGGTCTCCTGAACTGCAGGTGGATTCTTTACCAACTGAGCCACTATATACTGAAACCTAAATTAGTAAAGCATATTGGTTGTACTAATGGATTACAGAAATAATTATTTACATACAATGACTTTAATTGGGAATTTAATGCTTTTTATTACCAAATATTGATTTACATGAATCACCTGTAGGATGCCATTATAAGAAAAGATATATGATACAGAGGAACAGAGCTGATATTTAATGATGATATGATTGACAGAAACATGAAAACAAGCCTCTAATCTACAGAAATAGACAAAGGTTGTAGAAAAGGAAGGATGACATAGATACATCTGTGCTGTTAACTGAAGTAGCTGGGAAAAAAAATGTATTACTGACCACTGGTCATAGATAAATAATCTCCAAGAATAATATCCAGTTTAAATGACATAAAATTTATTATTTTAAAAGAAACCGTTACTTTGTTATTGAAAATGGATAAACTATTGGATTTCTGCATTTTTGGTAAAATGTTATAAGAGCTTGGTTAGATAAATAGCTAATATTGTAGGCGCAAATTGTGGTTTACACATTTTAGAATAGGTATAATGTTATTTAAAAGTATATCTAGGGTTATTTTCAGTGTTCCACAGGCTATATTCTCTGTAAATAATTCATAGTTAACAGAACATCTCATTCTCCAAAATCAAAACAACACAATCTTTCATTAAGCTGAAACTAAAGATGAGCTTTCCATTTCTTCTCAGGATCTGTGTTGCTAACTGTGGAAAGAAAATTACAGAGTAAACATTTAACAACAGACAAGCAAAATCCCTGGATTTTAAGTTCTCTTGTAACTAGAAAGAGCATTAATTCCTAAAAAAATTTTATTGCTCAATATAAAGTTGGGGTTTCTCTTGCGGCGGGGGTGGGGGATTACAAATAAAAACGTTGCTAAAACTTCTACACAGGAGCCAACATTGCACCTCTTGTTTTTTAAGCAGCAAACTTCTAAGATTATTAAGTTGACAAGTCAACACCAGTGAACAATTACAAAATTACTGCTTTAGTATCTTCGCGTTTACTACCTTGACCCGCAAAACCTGTGGCTGTTCCCAAATCTACATGTAAAGTTCTTTGTGGTCACTCTGGCAAAGGCGAAGTTCTCTTCCCAATACATTCGGGTGGGTGAGGACTGGAGCCCCCACGCAAGGCCCTCACTCCTGTGGGAGCTTTTGTTCTAATTTGTCGTTCCCTGGCTTTTCGCTACTGACCCTTCCTAATGACTGTCTCCCCCGCTCACAGTGACATTCAAGGGAGAACTCTGGTGGGCGGTGTTTTTCCTCAAAGGAAACTAGTTCATTTGTTAACAAATATTTTCAGTGCCCAAATAAAAAAAATTGGAAGAATACTTACATATTTTCCCTTCTTTTTCTAATTTTTTCAAATGCAGCAAGACGTTATGTTGGGCCATTTTATGTAAATGCTCGGGAGTATCCTAAAGGAAAGATGAGAGTACAGTATTTTTTAATTTTTAATTAATTTATTTCTGGCCACACTGCACAGTGTGCAGAACCTTAGTTCTGAACTCTCACCCTCTGCAGTAGAAGCAGAGTCCTTACCTCGCCAGGGAAGTCCCTACAACATTTCTTTTTCAAAAAATAACAGTGTTAATCTTTTTGAAACTTTTAAAGAAAAAAGACAAAAGAAGACAGTCTTTTGTTGTTGAGAGGTACTTAAAAAAATTTTTTTTTAACTGTAGGATAGCTTTACAAAATTTTGTGGTTTTCTGTCATACATCAAGAATCAGCCATAGGTACACCCATGTCCCCTCCCTCCCAGACCACGCTCTCATCTCCCTTTCCACTCCACCCTTCAGCCTGTCACGGAGTCCCTGAGTCAAAGACAGTAAATTCCCACTGGCTCTCTGCTTTACACATGGTATTGTGAATTTCTGTGTTACTCTCTCCCTACATCCCCCCTTCTCCCTCCTCTCCTCCCACCTTGTCCATAGGTCTGTTCTCTATGTCTGTTTCTCCACTGCTGCCCTGAAAATAAATTCACCAGTGCTGTCTCTTCAGATTCCATATATATGTCAGCATATGATATTTGTATTTCTCTTTCTGACTTACTTCACTCTGTATAATGGGCTCTAGTTTTGTCCACCTCATTAGAACAGATTCAAATGCATTCCTTTTTATGGCTGAGTAGTATTCCATTGTATATATGTACCACAGCTTCATATTTATCCATTCATCTGTTGATGGACATCTAGGCTGCTCCCATGTTCTAGCTACTGTAAATGGTGCTGCCATAAACACTGGGGTACATGGGTCTTTTTCAATTTTGATTTCCTTGGGGTATATGCAAAGGAGTGGGATTGCTGGGTCATATAGTGATTTTATTCCTAGCTTTTTAAGGAGTCTCCATACCATCAAGAAGATAGTTTTAACTCTAGGTTTTTATATAGTAATAACCAAAACTATTGCATCCTATTAATGTCTCACTTTGGGTCACTATTAGAAGTATATTTTATAGATAAAATAGACTGTAAGCTCCATTAAAGCAGTAGTATAATTTATTCACTACTGAATATCCAGTGCTTAGCAAAATGGCATACAGTGGGAACTGAGTATTTTATAAGTGAATGAATAAACATAAAAATTATTTAGATAGTTTTGATGATGCTACAGACAGTTGGTCCTATGGTTTACTTATTAGGTGACATGGTAATATCTTTACATATTTTTATTAAAAGTATATATGTTTTGACCTTAAAACTTACAATTTTTCCTTTACTTTTGCTAAGCTAGTAATGTAATATTGACAACTGTTACCTGAATGGTAAACAAAATAAATATTCCTTTTATTCTTTTTTCCATATATATTTTTATTTTATTGAAGCATACTTGATACACAGTATTCAGTTCAGTCGCTCAGTGGTGTCCGATGATTCTTTGTGACCCCATGGACTGTAGCCCACCAGGCTCCTCTGTCCATGGGATTTTCCAGGCAAGAACATTGGAGTGGGTTGCCATTTCCTCCTCCAGGGAATCTTCCCAACCCAGGGATCAAACCCATGTCTCCTGCATTGCAGGTATATTCTTTTACCACTGAGCCACCTTTTAGAGTTATTATAAAATACTGGCTTTATTTCCCTGTTATATCAATAAAATATTATTTTTAGTTTACTGTATACATAACAGTTTACACCTCTTAATCCCTCCCCTTTTATTGCCCCTCCCCCTTCCTGCTCCCCTAACTACTAATTTGTTCTCTATAGCTGTGAGCCTGTTTCCATTTTGTTATAATTCACTAGCTTGTTGTATTGTTTAGATTCCACATTATAAGAGGCAACATACACTTATTTGTCGCATACACTATTTGTCTCTTTTATTCTTTAAATAAGAATTTTTCAAAGTCAAGCTTCTTGACTAAATTATCTCCATTTCTCAGCTCCCCGAAAATGTTTTGTTAAGGTCATCATATTACATTCTAATGAAAATTCAAAGAATTCTTTTAAGTCCTCATTTTACCGGAAATCAGCCAGGCGAGTCTCTCCTTTTGGAAGAGCTCTTTTCTTTTCCCTTCTCTAGGTTATCCTACCTCTCATCATTTTGTCTTCATTCTGGATATTCTTCCCAGGATTTCTCTTTTAACACTGCTGTCTATAGTGAATTGTATCACTGACTCTCTTTTTACTCAATAACTTGCCACTGCATTAAAGATTCCCAAGTAAAAACCTCCAAACCCAACCCTTCTCGAAGCTCCAGCACCATGTATTATTATATCCACCAGCATGATTTCTAAGTCTAATTATGCAATCCCCCTGGACTGAGATCTGTGGTGGTCATTCTCAGTTTATAGGCTGAAGCCCACATTTTTTGGCATGGCAACCAAGGACTTCCTCTGACCCACCATGCCTGTCTTTCCTGCCTCATATCCTGGGACCCCCTCCCTACCCACTTGCAACATGCATTCTGTGCTCCAATAACACACATTCTTTTTGGGGGTTTTCAAACACATAAAAGGCTTTTATGACCCCCAGTGTTTGAACACATCTTTCCTTCTATCTACAATGACTTCCCTTCTCCTGTGTCTAGCCTGGGAAATGCTTATTCCTTCTTCAAGATCCGATTCAATGATTAAGTTTCTGAAGCTGTTCCAAAAAAGTCTCATGACCCATTATCTTCAACAGGTAGGACTGACTTCTCTTTCCTTTGTGCCTCCAATGTGCTGTGTATGGGCCTAGGAGGGAAGCTTGGTGTGATAGAAAAACACAAGGTTTGAGTATCTGACTTTTGACATTTGGGTATGTGACATCTGCGAGTTTTGTACCTTTGGAAAAGTTACTTAGCTCAAACTTATAAAGTCAGTTTTTAAATCTATTAAGTTGGAATAATAGTATCTTTATGTAGTGAAAACTTGGGGTACTGGAAATTAAGTACCGCAAAATACAAGTGTAATGTGAAGCATGTAGTACTGTGTCTAACACGTAACATGCTCAAAAAAATGGGAGCTATTATGAACATGTCTGTCTGCTAAACCCCAAGTTCTTTGAGGGCAGAGATCTGGAGTTATCTTAGTATCTCTGCACCTAGTCCAGGGGCACAGAAACACTTCAGTAAATGTTCGTAGAAAGAATACATGTCTCCACAATATCTAATGCTGTTCTCTATGTGACAGGTGCTGTACACATATGCACAGTGAACACATCCCTGAACACACCTCTGAATGCAGAACCAGCATTTCTGAGGCAGGCACAGTCACTGGCTGACTCAGCTGTGAGGGTTATCAGAGAGTTCTGCAGTCTGTACTTGGGTTAGAAAATACTACCCATGTTTCAATGCATAATCTAGAACGGCTAAACTCTAGGAAGTGAACTCTTTCACAGAATTTAAATATTTACATTTCCCCTTTGCTCCTGGCACTTTTTATCTTCAGTCCTTTGAATTATTCATCCCTGCCTTTAAACACAAAGCACACTGAGTGTGATTTAACTGGTTTTTGAGAACTTAGACCTATGGGACATTGGGACATTGTTGTCATTCAATCGCTAAGCTGGGCCCAACTCTTTCTGACCCCATAGACTGTAGCACGCCAGGCTTCTGTCCTTCACTATCTCCTGGAGCTTGCTCAAACTCATGTCAAACTCAGTGATGCCACCCAGCCATCTCATCCTCTGCCGCCACCTTCTCCTTCTGCCCTCAGTCCTTCCAATGAGTAGCTCTTCACATCAGGCGGCTGAAGTATTGGAGCTTCAGCCTCACTGTCAGTCCTTCCAGTGAATATTCAGGGATTGACTGGTTTGATGGGACGTTAAAGACCTTTACTAAATGAAACTCACTCAGGTTTCTTTTCAAGCTCATCTTTAGTTACACTCTCATGTATCTTATGGCTGTATAGGTTATGGTAGTGGGAGTCTTAAAACCCAGATAATCTTATCACATTCTTAACTCCTAAGCTATACTGCCTACATCAGTTATCTAACACACATTTGCTGAGAAACTGAACCCTATGGATGGACTGCCACACGCTGCTGTCAGAGAAGGATGTGCGCAGAGGCCACTGTGTGAGGGGCTCTTTCTCTACTAAATGACTCTTCTCTCCTCTGAGGCCTTTCTCCTTTTAATCCACTGGGCTTCCCGTGTGGCTCAGCTGGTAAAGAATCCGCCTGCAATGTGGGAGACCTGGGCTCGATCCCTGGGTTGGGAGATCCCCTGGAGAAGGGAAAGGCTACTCACTCCAGTATTCTGGCCTGTATTCCATGGACTATATATAGTCCATGGGGTTGCAAAGAGTCAGACATGACTGAGCGACTTTCACCTTCATAGGCACTGCTACTAATTCTCACTGCTATTAGCCAGAATCTGTCTCCAGTAGATCACCCCTTCTCACTCGCTGCCAAGGAGGACACTAGATAATCAAGATGGTCAGAGTAATATATTACTGTTGTTAGCTGCTCAGTAGTGTCCGACTCCCTGCGATTCCATGGACTGCAGCCTGATCATGGAATTTTCCAGGCAAGAATACTGGAGTTGGTTGCCATTCCCTTCTCCAAGTAAAACATAAATCATAACAAAGCCTCATCACCAGGCTATTGGCAATGATATCCTATAGAATGAAGTATAAAAGGCTTAATAATGGCTCAAAAGGGTTATTCCGTGGGCCAGTGTTTATCAAACTTCTGTGTTCTAGAAACCAGAGATTTGATGATCTCAAATCTGTACAAGTGACTATTACTTAAAAAATTAACAGACTCATTCTGTTCTAAGATGCGATGAGTTTACCACATTAATAGTCTAATGAATAGATTCTTCTATTAAAATTGTGTCTATGTACAGATAAGATAAATAAAAATTACCTTGTAAATACTTTTTACAAGTTCCATTGCTGTGAATGACTTTTCAAAGTTCTCATGAAATACTGTAAGAATCTGCTGTTCTCGGATGTTTCTGTGAGAAATGTATTGTAGAATTTTAGCTTCAGCATTATGGATGACTGGGCCATGTCCTGAATCAGAATAATTATAAAAATTATTTCAACCAAATAAAAAATTTTAAGTACAACTGAAGTTAATTCACTCTACTTAAAAAATATTTCATATAGTGTACTGGAAAGGCATACTAAATATGCAAGTGAGAATTATTTGGAAAATTATACAGGAAAAATTACCTGTATAGGTAATAAAGAGATTTAAAAATTACATACCAAGCTAAAAACTATTAGAGAATTATGTCAAAATCTATATAAAACATTACAGTGTTCATTAAAAAAAAGTAACAATTAAAAGATAAAAATAAAACTAACAATAAAAATAGTAACCACAACAGTAACAATAGGTAATATTAACAGTGTTCATCATTTGCCAGTTGTTGTTCAGTCACTGTGTCCGACTCTTTGCAATCTTGTGGACTGTAGCATGTCAGGATCCTCTGACCTCCACTATCTCCCAGAGTTTGCTCACATTCATATGCTTGAATCAGCGATGCCACCCAACCATCTCATCCTGTGCTGCTCCTTTCTACTTTTACCTTCAATCTTTCCCAGCATCAGGGTCTTTTCTAGTTAGTCAGCTCTTTCCAACAGGTGGCCAAAGTGTTGGAACTTCAGCTTGAGCAACAGTCCTTCAATGAATATTCAGGGTTGATTTCCTTTAGGATTGACTGGTTTGATCTCCTTGCTGTCCAAGGGACTCTTAAGAGTCTTTTCCAGCACCACAATTCAAAAGCATCAGTTCTTTATAGCACTCAGCCTTCTTTATGGTCCAACTCTCACATCTTTACATGACTACTGGAAAAACCATAGCTTTAACTATACAGACCTTGGTTGGTGAAATGAAGTCTCTGCTTTTTAATATGTTGTCTAGATTTGTCATAGCTTTCTTTCAAGGAGCAAGTGTTTTTCAATTTCATGGCTGCAGTCACTGTCCACAGTGATTTTGGAGCCCAAGAAAATAAAAAGTCGGTCACTGCTTCCATTGTTTCCCCAATATTTGCCATGAAGTGATGCGACCGGATACCGTGATCTTAGTCTTTTTTTTAATGCTGAGTTTATTTGCCAGATACTGCTCTAAATGCTTGATACACTTTATTCTTACATAAATCCCATGAAGTACGTATGCTTATTCTCCCTTTGAACAGCAGAAACTGAGGCATGGGAAGGGTAAATAATCTGCCTGCAGTTACATAGCTAAGTGGAGCTGGGATTCTGACTCAGGTGCTTTTAACCACTCTGTGGTTAACCACTATGCTTATCAAAGATTGAAAAGATACTGACTACCATTTACTAGCTGTATGGCTGTGAAAGTCCCTGAATCTCTGAGCTTATTTCTTTAGCTACCTGCTTCACTGGGTTTTTGTGAAGACAACTTTGTGCAGGTCCCTACACTGTACCTGGCAGGTAGGGTGGCAGGCTTTAATACGTGGTAGTTACGGCTATGGAATACCATTGACATACGGGCTCCTGCTGTACCAATAAGCCAGTTCACTGAATTCATTAAAGCCAACACTCCAAGAACCTGTACCAGGCACCCTCTAATTAGCTTTGCTCCAATGTGACTGATTCAAATGTCTACTCTCTTCTCTTTCAAAACAGTTGTCAGCCTCTGCTTCTTCGATGTCATAACATTAATCCAAATGCCTAGTCCCACCAAACGTATGTTTCCCACCCCTCGGCAGTGGGAACTCATGAGAGAATATGAAGATATTGAAGACACTGTATTTACAGATCTTTTTATGGCTCTCTGGCTAGGAACAAGTTAAAGGACTTAAAAGAGTCAGTAATTGAGTCTCTTTTCCCTCCTGGGGCCTTCTGTTGGGTTCTGTATCTTTCTTAGGTTTTAGGAGGGAGGGGAGATTCATACTGTAGAGCAGGGCAGTGATAGCTGATATACTAATAACAGTTGTTGTTGTTGTTTTTTTCCTGAGGAACTGAAATAAATGTACAGTTTCACAGTTAATATGGAAAATATTGATTTTCATGCATGCATGCTTGTTACTTCAGTCGTGTCCTTCTCTTTGCAACCCTATGGACTATAGCCTGCTAGGTTCCCCTGTCCATGGGATTTTCCAGACAAGAACACTGGAGAGGGTTGCCATTTCCCTTTCCAGGGGATCTTCCTGACCCAGGAACCAAACCCACATCTCTTAGTCTCCTGTATTGGCAGGCGGGTTCTTTACCACAAGTGCCATCTGGGAAGCCCCACTGATTTCCATAGTGTGAGTTAAAAAATTAAAGCTCAGAGGTCAAATGTTACTTGGTTACATGGCTAAAATGCAGTACACAATAGAAATCAAGTTAACAAAACTAAAGATAGCTCATGAAATGAAAACATTTTCTGGTCCCAATAAGTTTATTTCCTTTGTTTAAGAGTTCTGTTAACAGCTCAGTAGATGTTAAAAAATAACCCTATCTTTAAAAAAGTTATTAATAGAACTCTCAGTCTTCTTTTTAATTGCATTGCTAGACAAGACTTAGGGGTGTAATTGAGAAAGAAGCAGTTTATACGTATCTCTTCCAAGGCAGAAGACACACACAGACAAACCAAAAGAAAATCTTTTTCATCATTTGAAACAAATGGTTTGCTAGGTTAAAAGAATGACCCACCTGGATATATAACTTCAGCTTTGATTTTTAATAACTCTTTCAGGGAGTTCATATAATCATAGAGGTCTTCAAATACGGTTGTTCCTTCCCCTAAGATGCAATCTCCAGAAAACAGAGCATTTTCTTCTTCTAAGACTAGAGCCATATGATCATCAGTGTGGCCAGGTGTGTATATAACTCTAGTTCAAAGAAGAAATAGTAACAGTTGGAACTCGTATGCTTAGAAGAAATTTTGAGACATAAATTATTCTCTCCTTCTTTATGGACAAGATACAAATAAATGTCAACACATTTTCTAGAAAGAGTGGAGTCAACCACTGGACTGCCAGGAAATCCTCTACATGAAGGTTTATGACCATACCAATAATAAACCAGTTAAATAACTAAGTCTAAATAATTTGTTCTGCAGAGTACTTGATTGCTCAGCCACACATAGGCAACCCTCTCTAGTAGTCATTTTTTTCTGTTATTACTCCTGTACTTTGAATTGTATACTTTGAATTACTGCAGATTTCACATTGTTTTCTTGTTTACCACTCTACCTCACAAGGTTATGAACTCTGAAAGGCAGGACTCCTGTCTTATTCTCATCTTTATATTCCCAATGCTTAGCACTCAGTAGTAGCTAATATCAATATACTGCTTTCCATGTGCCAGGCACTGACTTCAGGAATTTACAAGCATTATACTTAATCTTTCCTACTAGTAATGGGGTGGGTACTATTAACCACTCTGTTTTCTATTTTAGATAACGAAATCACAAGAGATAGCAAAAAATGTCTGGTGGATTAAGATTTAAATTATCTTTTATTTAGCTTGAGAGGTTAATTAGCCTTATCTCTTTCTAAAATATAACTTTATTTTTTGGCTGCGAAAACAGAGCTCTGTTTTGGTTTTATTTTTAAAAAATGAATTAATTTTTTCAGCCACTCGCATGAGGGAACTTAGTTCCCTGACCAGGGATCAAACCCATGCCCTCTGCAGTGGAAGCATGGAGTCTTAACTACTGGACTGCCAAGGAAGTCCTTCTCTTTGCCTATTCTAAATAGTATTGCATTTTATGTGCTTGGAATACTTTAAATAATTTTTCTCAATAATGGATTTTTTTGGGGGGAAGATAGGGCAGATATAATTGCATATCTGTATTTACTGTATAGGAATTGAGAGTGTGTTTCTGGTTAAGACTGGACTGAACACCTGTATCTCTTATTTTCCTCCTAAAACATCAATAAAATTACCATAAAGGGATATGTGAAAAATGGCATAAACCCACAGGAGTGAGGAGAATGGACCATATCATTAGAATTCTAGAAGCTAAAAGAAGACACATGAGTGAGAAATGACCTATTAGATGAAAGAAAAAATGACATTTAAGCTGGCAGAGGTGAAAGCTGAGACCCAACCAGAGTCACACTGCCGAAGTCACCAGTCTCTGGACGTGGGACTCCAGGAATCTAGAAGTGGAGGGTGAAGCGGGGAGCAGAGGCTAAAGGAAGAAGACATTGGTAAACACCAAATCACCAGACATCTGAAGAAAGCCTTTCAAACTGAGGAGAGTGAATAAAAACAAGCAAACTAATTTGCAGGCCACAAATCATGAGGAAGGAAACTTCCAACAAAAACAAAAACACACACAAACCTCCCCTCCACAGCCATAAAGAAAAACAGCCCCACTAATGTCCTAGGAGAGATAAGAAGTTGCAACAATGAAGCAAGAAAGAATAGAACAGAGCATTTAGGGGGCAAAAAGATATCCTGAAAGCTAAAAATGTGAGAAGAGAAAGGGAAAAATAGGAGGAGATAAGGCTGATAAAAACCTCCCAGAAAGTACAGCAAAAAAGATAGAAAACAGGAGAAAAAAAATAAAGTTAGTGGATGAGTCTAGGCGTTCTAACAAAATAGGAGGGGTTTTAATAAATGAAACAGGACAAAACAGATTAGAGAAAACATCAGTGAACAACTTCAGGAAAATTGTGAGAACTGAAGGACACATGTTTCCAGACTGAAAAGGCCTCTCAAGGATCCAGCATTATAATGCTTCCTCCAAGGTATACCACTGGGAATTTCCAGAACATAGTGAAGAAGGAAAAAAAGACAAACAAACAGGTGGTCAAAAAAGTTCAGCAATCTGAAAGGTTTCAGATTTCTCAATCTCAATACTGTATTAACTAGAAGAGGCAATGAACTCTTGCATATGAAACCAAGAAGGAAAAAAGATTTTCGACCTGGAATTTACAAACAGTGCACTTTAAATCAAGTTGGATCAACAAAGACATTTTTAGATATGAAAGGCCTTAAAAATGCACTTTCTCAGAAAGCTATTGGAGATGGGCTCCACCAAAACAGGAGTATCAGGAAAGAAAATTATGGGGTTCAGAGGACAGGTGATCCAAGACTGGAGGGAGGCAAGGGGAAGCCCCGGGTGAGCATGAAGGGATTTCTGGGAGGATCACAGAGTCAGCCTGGAAGAGACCCGTCCAGGACAGCAAGTTAGGAGGCTCTGAAGGAGTTTCATCCAGAACACGGAAGCGTTGAGAATCCCAGATACATTTAAACACTCTGAGAGAACATTTATGTAACTGGAGTTGAATTAATGATATGTATATAGAAAATTATTCAAGTAACAAAACAATTATTAACTGCAGGAAAGTAGGAAAGGAAAATTAAGCACAGTTTATTACATGGTTCAGCTGTAAATAGTATCTATAGTCCTAGTAAGGTTAACACTGAATACTGAGCTAACCAAAAATTATGACCCCAGAAGACTGGGAGACAGGAATGGAGCCCATAAATAAGAGGAGTGGGAAAACCAACTCTGATTTTTTTCAGAGTGGGAAATTAAGTAAAAAAAAAAAAAAAAACAACTAAATGGGAAAGTCAAGCTGCAGCAAAGGATCAAACAGTCTTTCAAGATTTGTTACTGTCACTGCTCTACCCTCTTTCATTTTTTCTCCCTAGAGGTATCCATTTTCACCCCTTTTGCTAATTATATATGTCATGTGCCTGAATTTTTGTGTGTGTGTGTGTGTCTGGCTGGCCCCAAAAAGCTGTACTACTGAAGGTAATTCTGCATTCCTCTCTGCTTCAAGACCTTCAAAAGCCTACCTAATGATCTAATAAACATATTTCCAAGTTTGGTTTTTAGATTCTAGCAAGTTATGATGAGTAAACCTTCTTCTGGGTTTCCTAGATGGTGCTAGTGGTAAAGAATCTGCCTGTCAATGCAGCAGACATTAGACTTGGGTTCGATCCCTGAGTCAGGAAGATCCCCTAAAGGAGGGCAAGGCGACCCACTCCAGTATTCTTGCCTGGAGAATCCCACGGACAGAGGAGCCTGGCGGGCTGCGGTTCATAGGTTTGCAAAGAGTTGGACATGACTGAAGTGACTGAGCATGCACATGCAGGTAAACCTTCTTTTAATAAAATAAGTTAGATTACATTACTTTTTAAAGTCTGAAGTGAAATGAAGTGAAGTCGCTCAGTCGTGTCCGACTCTTTGTAACCCCCTGGACTCTAGCCTACCAGGATCCTTCATCCATAGGATTTTCCAGGCTAATCTCGAATTAAAAAGAGAATCTATAAAAAGTAGACAAATAAGCTTAAGTTATATGTCTTATTTAAGCTTAACTCACAGGACCATACGACTAGTAAGCAACAATGAAGCTTCACTAACAAGATGTGTAACTGTTAGCAACTAAAGGCTCAGTATTTTTATGGACTAACTCTAATAAACATTTAAAAGTCAGATAGTTTCACTATAATCTACATCAGAGCATAGGTAAAGAAGGAAAACTTACAACTGCCAAACCTGATAAGGCTGCACAAAAAGAAAATTAACTACCCAATCTCATTAATGAATATTATTATAAAAGTCTTAACCAAAATATTAGGTTGACCAAAAAGTTTGTTTGGGTTTTCCCCATAAGCTGCTATGGAAAAACTTGAATGACTTTTTTGGTCAACCCAATATTAACAAATAGAATGCAAAACCAAATTTAAAAATAACATAGTGATCAAATAAAGTTTATAAAAAATGCAAGGGTGTTTCAATATTATACGATCCCTGAAAATAATAATAAATCTATGGAGAAAACTAGTAAGACCACTGCCCTAGACATTGCAAAGATGACAAAATTCAAATTGTAACAGTATTTAAGAAAACTAACACAACTCTAATGGCATTAATGATAATTAACAATAATTAGATGTCAACAAAGGAGTCCAAAATGCAGTACTTGGATGCAATCTCAAAAATGACAGAATGATCTCTGTTGTTTCCAAGGCAAACCATTCAATATCACAGTAATCCAAGTCTATACCACGACTAGTAATGCTGAAGAAGCTGAAGCTGAAAGGTTCTATGAAGACCTATAAGACCTTCTAAGACTAACACCCAAAAAAGATGTCCTCTTAATTATAGGAGACTGGAATGCAAAAGAGGAAGTCAAGAGATACCTGTAGTAACAGGCAAGTTTGGCCTTAGAGTACAAAATGAAGCAGGTCAAAGGCTAACAGAGTTCTGCCAAGAGAACAGTGAACTGGTCATAGCAAACACTCTCCTCCAACAACACAAGAGACGGCTCTACACATGGAATTCACCAGATGGTCAATGCCAAAATCAGACTGATTATATTCTTTGCAGCCAAAAGATGGAGAAGCTCTATACAGTCAGCAAAAATAAGACCAGGAGCTGACTGTGGCTCAGATCATGAACTCCTTATTGCCAAATTCAGACTTAAATTGAAGAAAGTAGGGAAAACCATAGACCATTCTTGTATGACCTTAAATCAAATCCCTTCTGATTATACAGTGGAAGTGACAAATAGATTCAAGGGATTAGATTTGATAAGAGTGCCTGAAGAACTATGGACGGAGGTTCCTGACATTGTACAGGAGAAAGTCATCAAGACCATCCCCAAAGAAAAAAAATGCAAAAAGCAAAAACGGTTGTCTGAGGAGGCCTTACAAATAGCTGAGAAAAGAAGAGAAGCTAAAAGCAAAGGAGAAAAGGAGAGATATACCCATTTAAATGCAGAGTTCCAAAGAATAGCAAGGAGATAAGAAAGGCTTCCTCAGTGATCAATGCAAAGAAATAAAGGAAAACAACAGAACGGGAAAGACTAGAGCTCTCTTCAAGAAAATGAGAGATACCAAGGGAACATTTCATGCAAAGATGGGC